CTGTCACGTGCTTGTGAACAGGCCATTCCAGCTTCTCCTGCTCGGTTTTCAGGGCACGGCTGGCTGCTGTGGACAAACAGGAGCCTGTTTTACTGAGACACACAATCTGACGCCCCAGTTCAGCTGCTGCATTGATTGCATTTGTTGTGTTGTTGTTTCGTCTGTAATAACAGGGATGTGCTTTTGCCCTTCATTTCCATTCCGTCACCGTTTGTCGGCGCGTCAGCGAGACGCTAACGTGTGTGGCCGAGCCTGCAGAGTGACACGGTCCATCTCCGCTGCGATGTAAACAGAAAACTTTCAGTGGTTCTGCAGGTTAGGGTCAGAGGTTGCTTTAGTAAGAGCTCCACGTGGTGTGGTAAAGATTCCTCATTGTGTCTGAAGCGTCATCTGGAGGGGATATTGTTACTTCATTGATACCCTGAAATCCTGAATGCTTTGCAGCAGCTTTAGGCTGCATCCTCAGCTGTGAAACCTCCCACACTCCTGCTTTTGTTGTAGCTTTTAGCCCTGACTGTTTAAAAGCTGCAGGGAGTAGACGTTGTTCTTTCCTACCCGGCTGTCTTCCTTGCGCTGCCAGTAAACGCACCGTGGTGATGTCTCCGTAGGTGCCGTGCCGCCGATAGCATGAGCCCCACGTGTTGCACAGTGGTAGCGCGCTCAGTTTATCCTCCGTCATCTTTGGAGAGCACAAAATGCTCCCGCGCAGCAGACTGAAACGATGTTCCCGCTGATGCATCCTTTAACTCTGCGCCTCCTTCGTCATCACCGCTTGTTGCCGTTTCCACGACCGACTCGGCGGCTGCGCTCGTCACTTAACCCTAGTTCAGACTAAACACACTTCACAAAGATCAGAATTGCTGACATTCTTGCACTAAATGAGAATCGGAGAAAAAGTCGTGTGTGCCCGTTTCCTCCTTCATGGATTGTGCAGAATGACTCCTCGTGACCCCGCCGGTTGGTTCCTCTCGTGGTAGCTGTTCCTTCTTGCAGATTCAGTAGGCCTGTGCTTCTGCGGAGGTGCCAGTATTTTTAGATCCTGTTCCTAAAATAAAGACAATTGTGCAGTTTATTGTGAAACTTAAGTTGGGCGCAGATGGTTTAGAGTTAAAAACGACTTTTTACACCAGAGCAAAACTCCATCATTTAGCTTTTAAGTTGGTTTCTGTCAGTTTCTGATTTGCTTTCCAGGCTTTGCTAATAATAGGGAGAATTTGTTACAATCAGCCTTTGCATACTGAAGCAATTACTTTTTCCCCTCGACCACGACTACCACCACCGCTTTATTACCACCATGCATCCAGGAATTGATTTAGTGCTGTGTAGCTGCCAGGTGATAATTGCCCTACTTTTTAAAAGCATAAGTTGCCATTTCTGTGTGTGATTGTTGTAATAATCAATAAATCTAATTAGAAAACTCCCCAAAAATTACTTCTACAACTTTTCTCTGTCCAAACCGGCATCATTGTGTTTGTTTTGTCTAGAAAGATTACAGGAGATGGAAGTATTTGTTTCTGACGTCGACGGCGTTGTGATGCTTGAAAGAATCCGTTCGTTGTTGGCGGTTCAGACGAGCTCGAAGGGTTTAAGCGTAGTCAGTGGGATATATTGGCAGCCTGAAGCCAAGCTTAGAACAAGAACTGTGCAGAGATGTGGTTGGATTCAATCGCTGCCAACATCATGTGATCTCTCCAAAGCATTTCTCACATTCATGTCAACAACAAAGCGATTATTTTGTCTCTAAGCACCGATCGGCCTCGCCTCAGCGTTATGCCAGCGATGATATAGATCCCTGCTGCTTGGTTTTCCAATGTAACCGGTAATAGATGAGTGTGTCTAAGGCTTCAAAAACATGACAGATATAGTTTTTAGTTTAAACTTTCTGCTGCCAAACGAGTAAACATGTCCACCTAGCACTTTGAGTCATTTCTGCATGAGTGACTGCCGTTGTCCGCTGTGAATGTGGGAACTGGCAGTTGCTGTAGCGAGGTGTCAGTGTCAGGGCCTTGGCAGCGCCTGTGGAAACTTTAACTGAAGCTCTTTTGAACTGCAAAACCTGAAAGGATGCAGCGATGCTCCGGGACACATCTTCACTGATTGTCTTAACGTTCCGCTTTGGCGTCAGTGTGCACGCTAAAACTATGCAGAAAATGGGGAAATACAACAACTTTCAGGGCAGCAAAGTCACAAAACATCCAATCTTGTGCAAAATCAAACTTTCCCTCCACGCTGGGTTTTCTTTTCTTTTGGTTTCTTCATGTTTATGCAGGCTTTCACTACATCTCATGTTTAAGCTGTGTTTAAATTATATCATGTCACACTTGCTTGTTGAGACAAACTGCTCATAAACTGCACAGTGAAAGACACTCCCCCAGTGTTCTTTGTAAGGGTGTGTGTGTGTGTGTGTGTGTGTGTGTGTGGGAGGGACGAGCTTGTCTAAATAGGGATGTGAGTCTTCAGACTGGTAGGTCTGGCTCTGATAAAGTGGGAATGTACGGGGAGTTGGATACCAGTGAAACCGGCTCTCTGCAGGTCGAAATCAGTGAGAAATGTGCGCTGTGTGATGACACGGTCTCTGCGTATGTTTCCCCATAGATCGCTTTCAGGTTTCTCACATCTCCACAATACTTTCAGATTTGCTGTTTTTATTAGCTACTCAGTATCACTGAAAAACCTGTGATGGCGCCGAAGTCTCACCGCTCGGTCAGTTCATCAGTGCTAACAGAAACTGACGTCACAAATTCATATGAAAACATAATTCCAGGTGAGAAATCTTCTGGGAATTGCATAAAATGTTTTTCATTTTTGAGGGACTGTTTTAAAATTCCATTCCTTATGGAGCTGATTAACCTTTAAAGGTACCTGTCTGGCTCTGCTGAAGCTAACATAGGATAAGTCCCAAAGATATTTGATGTCCAGTCACTGACAGCAGATTTCGCAGCCTGTCGAAACCACATGTTTTTAAACGGTTCATATCAGGTGGATCGTTTCACCAATATTAAAGCTTGAATGTGAGAAAGGACAAAAACACATCACAACCACTCTGAATGCTTATCTAAATGTCTGTCTGCTTCGTCTATTCACATTTGGAGTTCATACTTTGGATGTTGTCTGTGGGTTCATTTAAAATAAATGACTAAACACACAGAAGTGGGCTGAAAGCTCTCTGTATGCAGCGCGTGCACTCGCTGTAGATTGCCACGGTCCCTTTCACCTAGTTGTGCCTTTTTTCCGCCTCGTTCTTTTTCTGCTTCTTTTATGAACTTGTTGAGGGCAAACCATATTGCGTACGAGTTCCTATTAGGCCTCGTCTTTCCATAGACAACGTGCAGCGAAACGGCTGCTGTATTTCCTCATACCTGCTGCGCTTCAAACCAATCAGACGAGCTGATGAAGGGCATGTTTGAATACGAATGATGCTGCGACATGTTTAGAATTCCCTCCGTGCAGCAGCCTGGGTCCTGCACAGATTTCTCAGGGTTTGGTGCTGGACACCGAACACATTTACTGACCTTCATATAGGGAATAGAAGAAATGGAAAGAAAACCATTTAAGCAAACAGAGTAAAAACATTTGCATGGTTGATCTGAACAAGCAGACAGCTTGGATAAATTGTGTGCAGAAAAAAAGGGGAAAAACCTTCGTGAGTGGAGGCCCCGTCTGAGCAAGTTCAGAGC